CCATGTTCAAAAAATTAAGTTTGGGTATTTTCCCGGTCTACAATTTGCCGATCATTTTTTTCTCCCTATTTGGCCCATTAGAATGCAATGGAAATTATCTATTTATTTTCTTTTTCTTGTGATGTGCCTAATAACGAAACCTTTATTACCAGGAAACATATACAGTAACGCTATTTAATTTTGGGGCAAGTATATAATGAAACCATTTACCTTCGATATAAGATGGTCACAAGTAATATTGACCATTGGATGTCAAATTGGGTGGCTGCATGTATTTCATTGACCAAGCTCAAAGTTCAAAAGAAATTTTCTCGAACTTTGTGGCATACCTAAGCTATCAGATTTCACATCAAATAGTTGTAAGTAGTTGTGACATTCCAATACCAAAGGTAAATGGTCTCATTGTATATAATCCCTTATTTTTGATACGAGGTCATGATGGCTATCAATGTTAGATATGAATCAGGTGGTCGGGGATGCATCATAGATTGTGCACAAAGTCCAAAATAAGTTTTCTTGAATGTTGCGATATACTTTGATATGTCAGATTTTACATCCAATAATTGAGAATAATTACAACTTTCTTGTATCAAAAAGTAAACGGCCTTATAATATACATTCCTAAAAGGAAATATGAGAATTGCCAAATAAATTATGACGGATTTACACCAAACAAAGAACCCAAACATCCCCATTCATTGCCTCATATATCTCTTAAATATTGCCATCTAATTATCTCATTTCACTTAACGAAATGGCTAAGGATTGTTTTTCCCATCTCTCTCTCTCAAATAAACATCCATATTTTGCTTTCAATTTATTCAAAACTAATCAACAAATATTTTTTTAATGTTAATTTGTTTATAAATGTTCAAAACTTAGAAGTATACAAATGCAAAGAAAATACTAAGAAAATAGTAGGTAACACTAAGCTTAAGGCACATGATAAATTAGACTAAACTTAAAGCACATGATGATCTATACAATAACTTAGGGGATAGGAGAAGGTGAAAAAGATGTTTCAAATTGAAAAAAAAAAAAATGATGGAGGAAGTGTAGGGATCTAAGTCATGTTAAATGCATTGAGAGTAAAAATTTGAAGGTCTTGGTGAAGGATGATGAGTTCAACGAAATATAGATAATTTATTTTTAAAATTTGTTGAATGATGAATACTATAGGAGCATACCGTTAGGATGAACGTTTGACATAAATTAGGTCAGAGGTCATGGATATATTCATAAGATGAAGCTATCTGAAGTAAAAGAAAAATGAAGATAAAAAAGGCTTTAGGACTAGATGGTATCCCAATAGAATTTTGGAACTGCACAAAGAATTTGGCATGTTATGATGCAAAATGGTTTGATACGACTGCATCCCTATTAAAATAAGTAAGACCTCACCTTATTAACTCATCCAAATTGTAATTATTTAAAAAAATTTGTATCGATTATCTCGGCTTGAACGTTATGGTTGTGAAAAACAATTAGGATTTTAAGCTCTAAAAATAATGTATATTATAGCAAATTATCTAGACCGTCAATTTCGCCCTACAAAACAAGTGTTCGCAAATCCGCAAGATCTATACCATTTTTTGAACTTCAAATTTTATTGTCAATATTGAAAAGTGATTTTAGAACCATTTTTTGAACTTCAAATTTTATTGTCAATATTGAAAGTGCTTTCCGAAAGAGGATTTGAGGTGAGGCTTTCTTTTATTTTCATAAAGCCTAGGTCTTACATAAACTTCATCCTAATATGATTGAGTGAATTGTTCAATAAGATGGTGAGAACAAAAAAGCGTCATATGAATGGATGAAAAATATTAACATAAGAGACAAGCAGAATCGTACGAACTACCGAGGAATCAAACTTATGAACCATACTATGAGCTGTGGGAGAGAGTAGTTGAGCAACGACTGAGACATGAAATGAGTGTATGTATGCAAGGGCAGTCAATAATTGAAGCTATTTTGCTACTTAAGAAATTAATTTAGAAGTTGATAGAGAAGAAAAAAGATCTCTACACAGCCTATTGATTTAGAGAAAGCATATGATAGGGTTCCTAGACATTTAATTGCTGAGTGCTGAAAAAGAAATGAGTCTCTATATGATATATTAACATGGCGACAGATATATATGAGGGAGCACTGATTAGTATGAGCACAGCTAATGGAGTGACAAGTGAGTTTTTCATGATAGTATGCCTACATCAAGGGTTGGCGTTGAGCCAATAAATAATTGTTTTAGCTCCGGATGAATTAACCAGGCATCTATAAGATGAGGTACTGTAGTGTATATTGTTCGTGAATGACATAGCTTTAATTAATGAGACTAGAGATGACGTCCACACAAAGTTAAAATTTTAGAGGGAGGCTCTAGAATCTAAAGGTTTAAACTTAGCCCGACCAAGGCAGAATATATGGAGAGCAAGTTTATTAACAATAGGTGTAGAAGCAATGCAATAGTTAAGATTGGTGGGCCATGAAGTATCTTCTTTTCGATATTTGGAGTCAATAATTTATTATAATAGAGAGATTGAAGAAGTTGTCACACATAAAACTAGAGCTAAGTGGGCGAAGCGCATAAGTGCTTTCGAAGTTCTATGTGATCGCCACATACCAAATGAAATTGAAGGGGAAGATTTAAAGGATGATTGCAAAACCAACCATATTTTATGGGACGGAAGGTCGGGCAGTAAAGAAACAATATATACTATAATGAGTGTAGTTGAGATGAGGATATTAAGATAGACAAGTGGCAAGACAAAAACGGATAAAATTTAAAGTGAATACTATTCTACGCCATTTTTGACGTACTTGCATCCTCCAAGCGAAGAAGGAGAGAGCCATTAGCAATATGGTCATGCTAATACCCAAAACACTGCTAGACCATGGGAACACTTCAAAAATAAGCTTAAAACTAGGTAGCTTCTAAATAAGTATCGAAACAGCTTCAAAATTCATGAAAAGAGTAGCTTGTGATACCTGAAAGACATTCGCAAAGTTTCATTACATTTTGATAAGTTTTGATATGATCAGAACGAAATTCTATTTTCAAGTTTAGGTCCTATCATGCTGAAAGTGGACCCTACAACTACAGCCAGATTTTCTTGGTCTCAAAACAGTAACAGACCACACCATTGAATTCAGAATGTCGAAAAACCCCAGGTATCAAATTTCGGTTCAATCGGACCCTCTGGGACCATTATGGGCCTAACTTACTATAAAAGTAGGTTCGTCCAAACCGTACTGGCATACAGTCGGACAGCTTTCGTGAAGTGATTTAAGAGGGCATTTTTGCTAGGGCTTTTCCCATGACCCCAACCATGGTGAAGTATGTGCTTCAATCCATCTCTTCCCCATTCTTTAAAATCCTCTCACAAGTTGGACACGTCTATCCACACATAAGTGACACCAAGAGAGACACGCGAGCTTACCACTCGTGAGGCCACACGATTGTCCAAGAGGGGGAAAACCAGGCGCACGAGGTGACCCACAAGACCCACCCTGCATGCACCCATGAACCCAGGCACCCCGACCAAATACAGCTGAAGGAACTTAGGGGTGGCTCCAATGAGCCATAAGATAAGTATATGTAGAATAGCATCGAGGTGAATTGGTTTCAGATAAAAGCTCTAAAACGGTAATAAGAAGGTTGAAAATGACATGGATGGAAGTAGTAGGAAGAGATATTGTGCCTAATGATGGTATGACTGAGGGTACAAATCTTGATAGACTATTAACTACAATGTAGACTTAGGTGAGCTAACCATATGCACTATCGATGTAGAATAGCACCGAGGCGAATTGATTCAAACGGAAAGCTCCATAACGTTAAGAAGAAGCCCAAAAAAGGCATGGATGAAAGTAGTAAAGAGCACTATGGTGCCTAATGGTCGGACGAAGGGTAGAGTCCTTGATAGAATGACTTGATAGAATGATAGCTACCACATTTGATTCCTTGTACATTGTCTAAAATTGTTTGATTCCTTGTAACAAAGTCCGTAGTCCCTAATTTACTTAAAAAAAAAAAAAACAGGAGAAGGTTCTTATTAATTCTCCACCTCATTCCGTCAAAAAATAAATAAAATAAAATTCTCCACCTCACAAAAATAGAAGAAGGTTTTTATTAATTCTCCCATTTAAACATGGCTTCCACACCATAACAGAAAAAATGTAACGGATCGTTATTGTCATTGTCTGAAAGGACAAGGGGTAATTTTGTAAATTTCTTATGGAAAATTAAAACGTTGGTCACATAAAGACAAGCAAGGGCTTTGTTACCTATTTATAAATAGGGTCCAAATTCTGTTACCCTTTTCCTGATACCTATTTTACAGGTTTTGCTTCCTTTTTTTTCTTTAGAGGAGAGAGAATAAGAGCTCTCTCTCTCTCTCTCTCTCTCTCTAGAGCCAGGAGGAGAGAGAAAGTAAGCACCCGGCTTCGCTTATCTCTTTCTCTCTCTAGGCAGGTATCTTCATTTCTTTTGTAACACGCTTCGATATAAAGGTCAAAATGCTTCCTTCTCTCTATGCGCTTTTCCATATCGTTTCACTCTTTCGGTTCTCTTTCTCTCTCTAACTTCATTTCCTCACGCTTTTTCCTGCCTATATAACTAAGCAACTCGTATCCCTTCCACTTCACGCTTATTCATTAGAATTGCTCACTCTTCTCTCGCCCAAGTCTCTCTCTCTCTCTCTCTACATGCCTCTATCTTTTTCTACATGGGGGTTTATTATTTTACATTTTCTGCATTTTTCTCTTTATTTTGTTGTGTACCTGTAAATGCCTCTCCATTTTTCAATCTACTCCACACTCACTGTGTGTGTCTGTTATTTCTCATTTGTTCTTCTCTCTTTTCTTTGCTTTCCGGTTTTGTTGAGGTTTCTTGGTTCTCTTACTGTTATTCCTCACTTTCTGTATCTCTATGCTCTCCTTTTGTCTCTTTTTTACTTCCTTTATCAATCTATTTGGTTTTCTTAATCCTTTCTAAATACCTTTTTTCTTTTATTTTATTCTTTTATTTGTGTTTTTAACATTTTATTCCTCACACTCTAAGCGCTCTTTTTGTTATATTTTCCATTAATGTTTTTTTTAAACCTGTTTTCTTCCAGAAAACTTTGTGCAAGAAACTGTAATTTGTTTATTTTGAGCAGTCTTATGATTTTCTTTAGGTGTTTCTTTTAATTTGTTGGGGATTTTGTACTTAGTGCCGACGAAATGGGGTTTTTTTTTGTTTTTTCAATTTATTGCGTAGTTTATCCAGAATACATGTTTTCTCACTACTTTCTACTTTTTCCTGTCCAAATCCATTTTATCTTTGTTTTTGTCCCATTTGATCTTTATATAACCTTTCACCGTTCCTTCAATGGATTGGGATTTTAAAATGCTATCCTTTTGACCGTCCAACATGCGATCTTTTCCTCTTCTTTCACATTATCGGATTATCTTTTATCTTCAGGTTCCCAAAAGGCATTCTTCTTTTGACTACGTCAGCTCTAATCTTTAATCCTCTTTTTCTTTTCTTTTCGTTTCTTTTCTTTTACCATTATTTTTTTACAAACTTTTTCATGGATATTTGAAACTTCTTTTCACTGTCTTTTCATAGACATTTTCTACTGTTTTCTCCAAAAACTGCATCTTCCCCACATCTCTACGAAAGATTTGGTTTTTTTCTTTTTCACTGATACCGATGTTTATGCATGATATGTAGGTTGTAATTCAGGTGTGATTGAGGATGAAGTATGTTTTGGTATCTGGAGGTGTGGTTAGTGGACTCGGAAAGGGTGTTACGGCGAGCAGCATCGGTCTGGTTTTGAAAGCATGTGGCCTTCGAGTCACTTCAATAAAGATAGGTCATCTCTCTCTCTCTCTCTATATCTATCTTTCTCTCTCTCTGTGGGGTAGGGGCTGTGCAACTGCTTCCTATTTGGCCGGTTCTGAATGTTCTTACTGTTTGGCTGGTTCTTTTCTTCATATGTTGAAAGACGCGTGCCTGTGGTGAGGATTGTGAGTTTATCTTTGTAATTGTAAAGTGGTTTTTTCTTTATCTTCTATTAAAACCAAATTTAAGCATGCTAGCTTTGATATACTGGAATCGGTTTTTTTTCTTTTATCTAAGTGAATAAAGGGGCTATTTGGGTTTTTTCTTTTAGAGCAAGTTCAGTACGCGTGAAAATCCTTCTGTGAAAGCATTTTCACATGAAAGAACTAGAACTCCCTTATGTGATTAGGTGTTGGAGTTTCTTCACGTCAATTGGCTGCCAATTGGTGTGAAAAAATGTGTTAGTACCAATTGATGTGAAAAATCTGGTGTGAAAAAGCTGGTACACCTAATCATGTGGGGGAGTTCTGTCATGTGAAAATACTTTCATAAAAGTATTTTCACGCCAATACCAAATGTGCTCTTTGTGGTATTCTCAGTTGCGGGGGATTTTTAAAGTCATGTATTAGTTCACTCATTGTCATTATCTTATGAAAAATATGTGATGCCTTTTTTGTTTAGTATGTTGAGCCCGAATTCAGATTTGGATTATTTTTGTTTTTAACTTTTTAGCTAAGATTTTCTTGTAATTGTTTCATGTTGTTGAATATTTTTGTCTTGGCGATTTCCAAAATAAGTTGTCGATTTCATTTTAGCTTTTCTTGTATTTTGTATTGTTGATGTCTGTTTAACTAATGTTTGCTTCTTCTTTTTTTTGTCTTTTTAAGAACATTGGGTTGTTTTCTAATGTGATAGGGTATACTTGCTGAGATTTGGAGGCTTGGCTTTGTGCCTGCCGTAAGTAGAATAGACAACGCCTATGTTACAAATCTCTTAGGAATTATCATCGATCAAGAGAATCAGGCTTCCATTTGCCGTAGCTTTTTTTTTTATTAACCATGAAAACATTTCCCTTCGTCATTTTATTAGATTAGCTTCAATCCTTGTTCTGTTTGTTTTACAAAAGTGGCCTGGGTTTTAAAGTTGGCATTGCAACATGGGAATAAAGAATTAAAGCTTTCGGATTCAGATCAGAAAATTTTTGTTACATGGTTCTTTGGCTTTTTTCTTTTATGAAGGCTAAGGTGTAAAGTTTATTTCCTACTTGGAATAGCCTGTCTTTCTTTTCTTTATGACTGAGGAGTTTTTCCCCATGTTAGTTTTTTTATTGGAAGTTGGGATGAATATGGTTACAGTGATCAATTTTATAACTGTTGCTTTTTTCTATAATATATTCCCTTTTCTCTCATATTTTGTAATTCTTTTCTCCTGAAAATCTTGCTATGTCAACTCCTCAATCTTTTTTATAATTATTTCCATGGTGTACTTCAAAAGTCAGGTATTAGACCATTGAGCTGCTAAAATTTCAAGTCCATTTTTTTGTCCCAATCTTCTTCCCCTTTAGTTGTTTCTTTTCTTTTTTTGCCAAGAAGGATAATTACTATTCTTGAGATTTTATTTAGCCATGAATTTCTTCAACCTGTGCAGATCCATATCTGAATACTGATGCAGGAACCATGTCTCCTTTTGAACATGGGGAGGTGTTTGTCCTAGATGATGGTGGTGAGGTATACTTGTTAAATGTCATTTTACTGATTATTTTTGTAGTTGTTTTATTATAGCCTTCTAATTCCTTTTCTGTATTCCATATAATTTTTAGGCATGTAGATGATTAAAAGCTCTTGTTCTGATTTTCTGGGATATAAGTATTTTATGCATCTATTTTCATGATACTTGTTACCCAATGTTTTTTTCTTGTTTCCAACCTTAACATAACAAGTTTCTTTTGTGCTCGATGTAAAAACTTATTGTAGTCTTCTTTCAGCAAATACATTATGCAGTTTTTTAATTGAAAATGTAATAAAATGGTTAGTTTAGCTTAGATGATCAATGGTTCATCCTCCTGTTTTGAAGGTTGACCTGGACCTTGGAAATTATGAGCGGTTTCTTGATGTCAAGTTGACTCGGGACAATAACATAACCACTGGGAAGATATACCAGGTACTTCACAATGAAGGTTGTTGATTTAAAGCTTTCTCAGGTTTACGCTCTTTGTAAGTTTTAAATTTCTTTTTTATATATATATATTAGCTAATTAGATTATATTTGATATATCTTTGTGCCTGATGCCTCGCAGTCTGTTATAGACAAAGAAAGGAAAGGGGATTATTTGGGGAAAACTGTCCAGGTTTGCATTGTCTTTATATCCGTTCGTGATGGTTTTATATTGAAAACCTTAGTTGAATCCATGCCCTGACCGCTTCTTTTCTTGCATTATACAGGTGATTCCTCACATTACAGATGCCATTCAGGAGTGGATCGAACGTGTAGCTATGATTCCTGTGGATGGGAAAGAAGGGCCTGCAGATGTTTGTGTCATAGAATTGGGTGGCACAGTTGGTAAAGATTTATTTAGATAAGTTGGTAGTTCAGTTAGTTTTGGTTGTGGAAATGTCATTGTAGGATCCATTCAGAATAGGGACTCTTTGCACTGAAAACATCTGATAATTGTACTATTCATGGGTGATATACTTGTACAAGATTTACCTTTTTTTGTTGGTCCCAGTGCTTGATGATGATGATTATATCTATGATAATGATGATGATAATATTATTACTATTACTACTACTTCGACTAGTACTATCATCATTTTTGCTATTTATTATTATTATTGTAATCAAGCTTGGGGTTGGTTTTGAGTCTGTTATGATTGAGCATGAGATGGAGCATATTTCATGACATGATTAAGAGGGAAAGTTTTCAAGATGGACTGGGGAACTAGCAGCTCTTAACTATTGAAATGCGATTCTGAATATTTGTTGATGAACTGATGCATGGTTTTGGTCGATTGTTAATAGCTAATAATGTTACTGATGCTTGACAACTATTGATCTTTGCATTCTTGGTTCAGGTGATATTGAGTCTATGCCATTCGTTGAAGCCCTGCGCCAGTTCTCTTATCGTGTTGGTAAGGACCAACCTAGCTGGGGAAAGAAGCTCTTAAATTCTTCTCCAAAATTTTGTGTTCCTGTTTGTCCTGATACTTATTATTTTTATAACTGATCTATTTTTCTCAGGACCCGGTAACTTTTGCCTTGTTCATGTCAGTCTTGTACCTGTCTTAAATGTTGTTGGTGAACAGGTAACTCAGCACTGCAGTGATTTGTGGGGATTGAGTCCTATTCGACTGGGATGTTTATTCATGTGAACGGATATTCCAGATTGTAGAAGCCTCATTTGCTTCTGGATAAACTGGAATGTCTATTAAAAGTTTTTCTCCACGGAATGTAGTTTTGGTGAATCATGGGAGTATTAGTGACAATGAACTCTTCATTTTTCAGAAAACAAAACCCACTCAGCATAGTGTTCGGGAGCTCAGAGGATTGGGATTGACGCCAAACATCTTAGCTTGCCGCAGTGCTACAGTCTCTCTCTCTCTCTCTCTCTCTCCCCCCCCTCCCCTTCCCCCTTTCTCTTCCCACTTTGCACAAATGTAAATAAAACTTAATTGTGTGCTCATGTTTGCCATGGGTGACTTCACACGTATGCATGCTTGTGCAACTATGTGGCACAAGCATGCACAGCAGTTTCAGATTCTTATTGGTGGTTGTCTTGGACAGGCCCTGGAAGACAATGTGAAGGAAAAACTTTCTCAATTTTGCCATGTTCCGGTATATTTTTTTGAGACTATTAATGATATTTTTTTTTTTTGTGAAGTTCTGTACTATTTAGTGTGTGAATGGTGGTCTGTTTATTGTTTGTCTTTTTCAAGGTATGTCGATGGTAACTATACTGGATCTTTCCTTTTGCAGTCAGCAAACATCTTTACGCTTTATGATGTTTCAAACATTTGGCACATACCATTGCTTTTAAGAGTAGGTTCATCTTGATGATCCTTGATTTTATGATAAATATATCGTTCATGCATTTTCATTGGCTTACTTTGTTGTAAGAAAAATCAATACTTCGATCTTCATCTTGTTTCTTGAAATCATTTAGAATCATAGTTTTGTTGAGAATCATGCTTGATGTTGAATATCTCCTAACACCAACCACATTGCAATTTCTATTTTGATAGGATCAGAGAGCACATGAAGCAATTTTGAAAGGGCTGAACCTCTTGGGGTTTGTATTTTCAGTCAATTTCCTGTTTTAGCTATAATCTTTTAGTCTTCATGTTGGATGTTATAAGAAAATACCTAGTTGATTGGCTTCATTAATATCATAAACTGTTTCCTTACCATCACAGGGTCGCTAGACAACCTGTATTGGATGAATGGACTGCTAGGGCCAAACTTTGTGACAACCTGACCACTCCGGTTTGTTCTGAAGATTTGTGTACTTGTTTATTTTGAGTGGGCCTTTTCTTTGGAGGTTAATATGTCATTGTTGTGTCTTTCAGGTCAGAATTGCAATGGTTGGTAAATACACGGGATTGGCTGATTCATATCTCTCTGTCTTGAAGGTGCCTGAATTTTTACTATAGTTCATGACATTATGGTTCAGTTCTTACCGTTTCATATATACTTGGACTGAAAATAATGAAGGATTTTAAATGCAAAGAGAGATGGCTGATTTGGTAATGCATCACATATGAACTTTCTTTTCTTATCATTGACTCTGCAATTATTCTAACAATGCCATTATATTACCTCTGCTTGGGCTTTGATATGTGGAATATTACTCCATCCACTCTTGGATCCCCTATCATAGAATGACATTAATTTTGTTAAATCTGGCTGTCTTGCCATGCAAACACACCTTACGGGTGGTGTTTCTGGGACTCTGTATACACACACACACGAACATAAATTGCACACATAGGCATGAGAAATTGGCCTACGTGCTGCATGGAACAAAAAATTTGATGAAGTGATAGAAATGACCAAGTAAACTTGATTACTTGTAAAATGTAGCATGCTGGATTTATTTTATTTGATAGAAAATGGATTTATTTTATTTGAAAAAAGATCATCTTGATTAGTATAAAAATGTTATTGCTGAGGATCAGTACTCTCTGTTGGTTCTTTTATGCTAAGAACAAGGGTGGATCCAACACTCCAGTGAACTCAATGTGTGATGGTATTGTTCTTGATGGTGATGTGAGATTGCTCGGTGGTTTCCTGCTATGCTTACTTCATAGGCTTTTTTATTTGACTCAGGAATTGCCATTGTCTTGTCTTGATGACAAATTGAGTCTCAAATTCATGGGGCTCGTTATTCTCAACAGAGGCAGATTAGTGTCTTTTGTGATGTGAATAGCTTTATTCCTGACTTGACCTTAAAGAAACATCCCTAATAATGGTCCAAGACACCCTTCAATTAAAGGAGTTTCAAACTGTATGATGAATGAAAGTTGGGGTCCCAAAATGAAAGCGATGTTGGTCGAGTAATTCAAGAAAAAAATTTATATATGGGCAGTGATTTCCTGCAACGGTTGTATCATAGTATAATGCAATAATCTTCAAAAACCATGTTAGGGCCATTTGTTTGATCCAAATTTTGAAATACACTCTTTTCATTCTAATGAACAATCACAAAAAAAAAAATTTAAAAATGAAACCTAGAAAGTATTTTTTTAGCCCAATTAACATAGGCCATCCATTTTGATAAGATGCTTAGATCTAGGTCTTAGAAGGATTTTTTCTTTTTCATTTTTTTTAGATGGCTTTATTATCATTAGATGAACATTGTTAAAAAAGAAAAAAATGATTTTGAGTTTGTTACGGCTAAGATCTTGAAATTCACCAAATGAATGGCCTAGATTTGTTGTTAGAGGGGACTAATTTTGACCATATCTAGGGTTCAAAATGAACTTTTTTCTTTTTGGGTTGATTATTGAGATGAAGAGAGTGTGTGCGCTAAATTTTAGGTCATACAAATACCACAAACATGGTTATCTAGAAGTGTGGTTGCATTATACCATGATACATCCATTGCATGAAATCACTGCACTATATCATATATATATATATATATATATATATATATATATGCTGAGAATCTCATGTTCTAAAAGTTGGTGTTTTAGGGGAAAAGATTCCTTCCCGTTCTCAGATTCTGAACGTCTTCTATACTCTTCGAATGCTTTCTGCTTCCTCTATTAACGCCTTTTTTGTTGTTTTTGTGGAGCGCATCATTATCATTTTCATTTGCATTTGTTGGTTGCGGGGTTCATTTTTGTATCTAACATGGATCTTGTTTGGAGACATAATGTGTCTGCTCTTTGATACTATGTCTAATACTATGGATGCAGTTCAAGTACTTGGGTATTAGAGTCAATTAAGAAATTCTTTTATGCTTGTCTTTAGGCCCTGTTGCATGCTTCAATTTCATATTCCAGGAAACTTGAAATAGAATGGGTTCCAGCTGCTGACCTTGAAGATACAGCTGCAAGAGAGGTATTCCAATCTTGGACAATTCTTTTGATGGTTATATGTATTTTGATAATTTTGGAGTTGTCAGTTGACTGTTAAACACACTCTTTTTCAGATGCCAAAACGTCATGTAGAGGCATGGGAAGGATTAAAGGTGAGCTAGGTTTTGTTGTTATAAAAATATATGTTGGCTTGGTTTCCATAGAGGCTGCTCTGCTAGGGATATGATGGCGTCCTTAGTTTGTTACCTTTTTATGGGGAAAATCATACATTAATTGAACATATAGTACTCCGAAGGAGGCATTTGCATCCATCTTAATTATGGACATTGAAGGTTAATCGTAATGGTTGAATATCCCAGTTTTCCCCACTACAATTATTCTCTGATGTCTGTTGTCAAGAACTATTGGTCAATGCTCTTTGGAGTATATAGCATACATCATGTACCTTCCCTTTCGACAAATATTTTTCTTCTATAGAGTGTCCTTGTTTTATGTTATACATCATTAGCTATCAAAGTATGAAGCGAAAATTGTTTGATCTGATTTTCCCATCCTTTGATTATACTGTATGGTATCTCAACTCAGCGTGCAGATGGAATTCTAGTCCCAGGAGGTTTTGGGGACCGAGGGGTGCAAGGGAAGATCATTGCTGCAAAATACGCTCGAGAACAGAATATTCCATACCTTGGCATTTGCCTAGGAATGCAAACTGCTGTCATTGAGTTTTCTCGCTCAGTATGTTTTATCTAATCATGTATTGAATTTTGGTCTCAGAAGTTTGCTAATTTTCTCAGCTACCCATCAAAAGAAATATACATCCTTAGATGCTCTAAGACTTAAAAAAGGAAAAGAAATATCCATATGCTCAGTTAGCCACACTTTCTTTTCTTAGGTCCTTGGTCTGCAAGATGCAAATAGTACCGAATTTGATCCAGACACCACAAGCCCATGTGTTATTTTTATGCCAGAGGTGAGTATCTTGTGCTAGTTTGTTTTTCTTTGCTTTCTTCCTTGGGAGGTAAGCTGGTACTTTACCTTTGGCTGTGTTTGGTTGGTTTTTTTTTTTGGACTTGGTTCCATTCAATTCAGGGTTCAAAAACTCATATGGGAGGTACAATGCGTCTGGGTTCAAGGAGGACATATTTTCAGGTCAAGGACTGCATCACAGCCGAGTTGTGAGGACTAACATGCCCTCTAGAGCTTTTTACCTGTTCAATTCGAGTTTTAGAAATGAAGTCAATGCTACCATTTTTTATGCTTCTTTGAAACTTTTTATATTATTTTCTATTCTTATGCTCAAAAGAAAAAAGAGAGAGAGAAAGAAAGGAAGTTGACAGCACTAGCATATTTGTTTTTTTTTTATTTGCTAGGTGTGAGAAACTAGAACTCATTATCAATATTCTATACGAAGATCAACTTCATTTGAAATTTGTATCTTATGCAACTAAGTGGATTATCTTCTTGCTTGCATCCCTTTACCAGATATGGCTATGCCAAATATGTAGATGAGAGGCATCGACATCGATATGAGGTCCACTATTTTACACAACCTTTCAAACAATTATTTTTATTTTTTCTTAACAATATTGCAGAAATGGTGCTTCCAGTATGGTTTTCCCATTCGTACTTCCATTTTTTCATATATATATATATGGTTGTCACCTTTGTCACTTATTCAGGTGAATCCTAATATGGTTGAAATACTTGAAAGTGCCGGTCTATCTTTTGTCGGTAAAGACGACAGTTGCAGACGAATGGAGGTATGAATTGTCGAATGTATATTTACCTTTATTTCTTTTAGCTAGTGACTACAATTTATTCATTGGGTGACGAGGAAATATTTTTTCTGTGATGAGATTAATTAATAATGGGAAGTCTTGCTTGAAACTTTTTCATTATCATTTGGTGCAGCTTTTATATATTCTTATTGGGGTGTGTTGTATTTCTTGTAGATCCTTGAGCTCCGTGGTCATCCTTACTTTGTTGGTGTTCAATTTCATCCTGAATTCAAGTCGAGACCTGGAAGACCTTCTGCAGTTTTCTTAGGTATTATTTTATCTTTTGTTGAAAAACATGAAATCTCCTGCTTGAAAACTTAAACATAATGCTTTTTCTCCCCCAGCATATGTAAAACGTTTATATAGAGCCAAGGCTCTAAACAATCAAATTAGAGCCTGCCTCAAAATTTTCACTAGAAGAGGTTGTTTTGATGCCAAATATCTTCAAATTGACGACATTAAGATGCATGGACATGAGAAAAAAATGGATCTCAAGTTTTGGAAATGATGTATTTTGTAACGCATTTTTGGACCGTCAGTTTTCAAGGTTTCATAGATCCGTCGATCAACACTATTTTTTAAGCTTTAAACTTTATAAATAAAGATAAAAATATATTTCAAAGCTATCACAAAGATTTCTAGTAATGAAACCGCATTTTTTAACACTATTTGAAGGTAGGCTTTAATTTGATTGTTTAGAGCCTGGGCTCCATACAAACATGTAAAAATTATGAAACTGCTTGATATGTTTAGGAATATTTTTCACTGGTTCATCTTAATGTAATACGTTGTTTGCTATTCTGATAGGTCTTATTCGAGCAGCAAGCCATCAGTTGAAAAGTAATCCGAAAAATGTGCAGTCTGTCAACAAAATGCACACGAAGAATTGTTCAAGCAATGGAGTGGCATACTTAGCAAACGGAAGCCCGACTAAACCCTCCACCAATGGCTCCTTGAAAAGCAGCTTTTACTCAAATGGCAATGGCATACATCATTAATAGAAGACTGGAAGACTGGTATCATATTATGCATGCAATTTTGTGGAGTCTCTCTCTCTCTTTTTTATTTTCCTTTTTTTTTTTTGGTTCTTCTGGCGGAGTTTGTTTTGTACAGTGTTCGAGAAATAGAGTTCATTAGGACTGGTTTCAACCTTATCTGGGGCTTTTTGACTCGGATGGGGGTTGCTCTGTTTTTCGATTTTATTTTTTTCTCCTGAACATATGGTTTTTTCTGTGTGTAGTGGAATCGATGATCGATTTCAGCTTCATATTGTAGTGTTTCTCTTTTTATTAAAAAAAAAATGAACTGAATGAAAGGTACATTTTGTTGAATGTAAATTATTGTGAGAAGCTGGTTCCCCAAAGTTTCGTCTCTGCTATTTCATTTTGAATGTGGATCATATTTTGAATGGAATTCAAGCGCCACGTACACTGAAAACCCCATGCATACATCATCTCTTGCTCTCCTCTCTGCACTCTCCCTCACTTCCTCTGCTCTCTTAGACCCCACCCAAACCCCTCATACCGCTCTTCTCTCCTCTCCTCTCCTCTCCTCCCTATATCCACATCAGCATTGCCTTACCACTTTCAAAAATCTTTCATGCGATCCTCTTTTCATCCTTCCATTGCCCAAAGGTTACTCGAGAAGACATTGTATTGTATCTATAATTGCACATCTCCCGTAACTGGTAGTATACGCATCATAATAACCCCCCCTCCTTTTAAATCCTCTAATTCAGAGACATTGTAGCCAGTGTTAAGTTCTCCATTGCATAGCTTTTCAAGGAAGCATCTTCTACATCCATGGATCTCTCGGTTCTCTCAATTTACAGGCTCAAAACCAGGTGGGGATTAGGCAATTGAAGTCTGAATGCAAGAGCCCTTGATTCCACGTAGGCCTTAACTCCTCTCTCTAGAGTGAGAATATAGCCTCAAAATCCCAACAGACTCGATTGATAACTGATATGTATATGGCAAAGAACCCAACCCATCATTAGTGATTGCGCCAACAATTGAATGACATTCTGAGATGCAAGAGCCTGCTATGGCCAAGGTTTAGTTTGAAGATTGGACCAAAACACAGGCGGCCCTATACACGCTCTAGTGGCCATCAAAGGTGCGAACAGGGTATGAAACAATATTTCCAACTTGCAGTTCAAGATCGAATGTTATGAAATGGTTTTGGAAGTTGAAAAGACGAGTGTCTTTGCACCTTATAGCCTTTGACAAGATAACATGGTATTAGTTGGAAAATGAAGCCGACCATAAAGACCTGGAACACTGAATTCTATAGAACCAATTCGCTAATCAAGCGAGGCAGAAGATGCTGGTTTTGAGTCATCTGTGATGGATTTTTCTTGGATTTCCCTACAAAGTTCATGGGAAACCAGTAAATAGAGTCGAGGGGATGCAAGAGGGTTTGGGTGGGGATTTGGTTAGGGTTGGAAAGAGGGAGAGCACAAGGAAAGAGAGGAGCGACGCAGGGGTTTTGGGCGGGATTTCCAGTGCGGATTGGGGTGTGGGGTTTGAGAGAGGAGGGGGAGGAAGGGAAATGCAGGAGTGGAGAGCTGCAGAGAGCTGGAAGGAGAGGAAGAGGGAGAACTTTTCTTCCTAAGAAGCTTTTGGGCGGACCCTTAATGTCCATTCAAAATAAAGTAATCCATGCTGGGCACCCAATCAGCGCACCTGCTAATCACTGAGTGCACCCAGCAGGTTCTTCCAGGCACACACACTCATGAATTGTACGCTAAAACACCATTTCCCCTTGGCACAAGGAAGCTTCAATCCCCTCTAGTAGCTGGCTTTGAAATCTAATAGCGTCAAGGTTAAAAAAAAGTTTATTTGGGACTTTAGAGCTAGCCAGCGACGCACCTACTACCAAATCGCATATTTACCGGTTTGAGGGTAATTGTAACTGTCTTGTACCAAAGATAAATGATTTTATATATAAACTCGTATAATTATCAAACCAAAAGTCCTCTTCATGAAAATAATCCAGAGCACATTTATCATTCTTCCCATTGTTTTGAAGTCCCCAATATTAGAGTTATTTCATCTTGAGATGTTTTACTTCTTTTTTTCTTTTTCTTTTTGGACAAGGTTACATAAGAATGGAATTTTGTGCTATGAAAGCCCAGCCTCTACCATCATGACCCCAGCCTGATTCCTTTTTCATCATGTGATGTTGTGATAACACATCTATCAAATAAACATCAATTTCATCTCTAACGGTTTAAGGGTAATTATAACCACCTTGTACCAAGGCCAAATGTATATATGAACTTATACATTATCAGACCACAATTCCCCTCAATGGAAATAATCTAGAGCACGTTAGAGCCCTCAATATCAGACTTATGTCACTTGTGATGTTATATGTCACTTGTGATGTTATGACAAAACATCACCTATCAGATAAACATCACCCAATCATAATGTCGTTAAGCCAAAAGCAATTCATACTCCCCTTCTGTAGAAATCAAATACTTCCACTTCTATTCGAAAGAATAAGTTAGTTACAAATTTGTACATTGAATAAATTAAAAAAGTCTTTCTATGTGCATATATATCAGTCTCTCCATTAATCAACTGAAAAAAAAGAAGCGAATTTCACCTTAGTAGTTCAAATTTTCCTCTTCATGAATGTGAGATTACCCAACTACTCTTGAAAAGAAGATCCTTGAGAGGGTGACTATAGAGAGGAGAGTGCCACACGAAAGAAACAGCCGTAGGAGCTGTCTTCTCCTTCTACGACTAAGCCATGTGAGGTAGGATAAACTTGCCTCCAACATACATGCACCATCCAGAAAAAATAACTGAAAAATGTGCACGTCAGAGATGAAATACATGTTAAACATGAACATTTGTGTTAGCAGAAGTACAACTAGAGAATGGTATATGGAAAATGAATTTGCATTCCACAGGTGATATGTTAGAGAGAGAGAAACTTCGCAGCAAGCAGGTTGAATCTCAATGAGAAAGATCCTTCGTATACAGATAGGCTGCCTGCTCCCAGAATTAAAGTTCTCATGATGATTATTAATCAATGCCTAATAGAAAACTATTTCTTTGCCCCCTGCGGCCAACACTCCCACAAATGTTCCTTAGGCATTTCGAGTAACTAAGCTTTAAAGTTTAACCAAGTTTGTAACACTGGGATTCATAGTTTAAATGTTCGAGTTGTAATCAACATATAGGCCCATGATATCAAAAGAAAACAAAATCATACTATTCACGAATAAACTAAAATGGATGGTACTCCAAGTCCACATCCACCATCTGTTCGGACTTAAAGATGGTCAGTGATTGTAGTGGGGCCTGGGGACATGTACCCTGGTACATTTAATCTCCAACCATTGATCAGTGAGAATAAATTGTGGACACAGCTCAGAACAAAAAATACATCATATTTGCACTATCGCATATGTTCGTTAGAAGCCAAAGCAGACATGAAATGGCACAATTTGCATAAAAGTAAATCAAGGTATAAAAGTTGGACTATATCATACTCACTTTAAAATAAAAAAACAAAATAAAAATGTTACGACTTTAGTGAACCAAAAGGAGCTACCAACCGGCATGCTATTGAGTAAGCCGAGAGTTGCAGAGACATAGAATGTAGAAAGTAGCAGCTTCTCCAATGCATCAGGAAGATAACAACTGAACAAAAACCTCCAACGAGGCTGATAAGAAGTTAATTGAACAGAGCGTGCAGCACCACCAGTATCTCCAATGAAAACAAAGTGCCCCATGCAACTACTTGAATCAGAGCCAGAATACCAGGAAGAATCTAATGACATATTACGGCCTGCAAGTTCTCGAGATGAGCAGCCCAAAGGGTTTGAATATGTGATCTCAACCCACATTGAACCCGGCATTTGAATGGGACTCATGCATACCTCATCCTGTCCATGAAAGAGAGAGTTTCATCTACCACAGCAATCAGACATCTGTGTGCAGGAACATATTTCTTTTGTTTTGCGCGCGCGAGAGAGAGAGAGTGAGAGAGAGAGAGAGAGAGAGAGAGAGAGAGAGAGAGAGAGAGAGAGAGAGAGAGAGAGAGAGAGAGAGAGAGAGAGAGAGAGAGAGAGAGAGAGAGAGAGAGAGAGAGAGAGAGAGAGAGAGAGAGAGAGAGTAGAGAGAGAGAGAGAGTAGTAGTAGTAGTAGAGAGAGAGAGAAGAGTAGTAAGTAGTAGAGTAGAGAGA